TTCAAGTCCCATCTGGGCTCTCGGGCTCCTGCCATCGCTGCCCTCTGGGTCCCCTCACCCCAAGAACAGAGCTGCTTGTTTTCTTGGTGGATTATGAACAGTTGGTGGTTTGTTCACTGTTATTTACTCAGCCAAAAAAAAAAAAAAAAAAAAGAAAAAAAAGAAAAAGAGAATTATTTAAAATGGAAAGTGACCATAGCAGCCAGGTAAACAAGAAACCCATGTGAAATAAAGCCAGACAGAGACACTGTGTGTCTGTCTGCTCCTGCTCTTTGCAGGAGGCTCTGGGCAGGGATTTGTGTCTCAAAAGCTTCAGGAGGATTTGGGGAAAAATAAACAAACAAACAAACAAACAACACGCAGCTCTGGGTGTGGGTTCTGTTCCAGACTCTGAAATTAGATCTCTACCAGCCTTGCCTGATTCTTCCCTGGCTCTTGGCACACGTAAAGACACGTAGCAGTCAGCAGCTATAAAGTTCCATCCTTCTCTTCTACCTGGTCTGAAATGAGGGAATTTTGCATCCCTGCTGATCACAGAGGTTTTGTTCATCCAGAAATAACACACAGAATATCCTCAATCCTTCTTGGGGTGCCGTTTCACACTCACAGATCCACTGTCTCCAAGTACAGCCCCAGAAGGGACATTGCCCATATCCAGAAGAAACAGTATTTTAGGGAAGATCTCTGTGCCATGAGCACAAATGCCAATCCAGAGGTGTCTGCTGAGCTGTGGATTTGCCATTCTGCACTACTGGGAGCCACAGGATGCTCTGAGATTGCCAGATAACTTCTGAATTCCCCTTGTAACTGCAAAGCGGAGCCTGCCAGAAAATGGGAATCCCTCCTGTTGCAATTTTCACAGGGAATACCCCCATGTGACGATTTCCTTCCAGGAAATAAAGATTTCCCCCATGGGATGAATCAAAAGATCAAATGTACAGACAAGCTGCTGCTTTATTGCTTTCAACTTGTGTCCTTTGCAAATTGACACAATGGCTTTGCAGAGAACAAAGGCTGAAGAAGGGGCTTTCCCCCTCTTACACTCACTATTTTATAGCCAGAAGGGAAATCAGGTTTTTTACCAGGTGTTTTCTCACTTGACTCACTGCTAAAAGTGGAAGTCTTTATTTCTCTTCACAGCTATAAAAAGGTCAAGAGAACAGGCTCTGTCCAAAAAACCCCCCAGTCCTGTGACACTTTGTTCTTCATCCTCCTGTGGTTACAAAGAAGCCCCTATTTCCTCCAGAACCTCTCGCAGTCGTTGGTGCTCTGGCTGTGTCTGCTCAGAGCAACCAATTTTCTGTTGGATTTGTGAATGGATTGGACTCTTTGGAATGTGCCTCTTCATCCCTTTGCATTCAGGGGTTGAGAGTGACTTGTTTGTGGTTCCTGCATGGAGGTGTGATAGATACTGCTGAGCTGGGGGCAGCCACAGATGGCAGGTCCCTGTCCTTGGGTCCAGCTTTGTCCTCCTGGATCGAGTGTTCCTGCTCTCAGTATTCCCAGTTCTCCTGCTCTCAGTATTCCCAGTTCTCCTGTTCTCTGCTCCTGTTTGGGTTCTGTGTCGCCAACAACCTCAGAGAGGAGTGACACGTCAAACCCTCTCTGCTCTTCATGAGCAGACACAGATCAAAGTGCCCAAATTACAGTAAATGAACAGAGGCAAGAAGAAGTGAGAGGAAAAATTTCACCCAGGCTGCAAACACATTTGCTTTCTTTCTACCTTGTGAGTTGTTTTTTTTTTTGTTTGTTTGTTTGTTTGTTTTTGCCTTCTGCTGCCCAAAAAGCTGCAGCTGGGCAGTCTCTTCATCGTTTTCCATCCACCAAAACAAGCTCTCTACCTTGACCTGGACTCACACACCTCTTTCTGCCATGCTGAGCTCTGTGGTGAACTGTTCTGTGTGCGTTCCCAGCTCTCCAACGTGGTCCATTTTGTGTCTTTTTTTTTGTTTCCCTGCCGTGCTGTGGGTG